CTGACATAACAAAACAAATATAATTTACATTTATTGTTTACTCGTGATATTGACTTGCAGGAAAACATAAATCTTTACATCTCGAATTATATTTGCATTGGTCAAGATCCGAGGTGTATTTGTAATTTTTTTTGCTTCTCTTGACTCCCGTCAAATTATACCGAGATCCGGGCGATTTCCACTCACCGAGGACTGTTGTTTTTGTTCGCATGTTTGTCAGATTTGAATTTTAATGATTTTCCAGAGTTGACACCAAGGCTATTCTTTCACAAATACATACACTTCTGTAGTATAACATACATTTCGTTAGCTTCGTATGATAACCTGTCGTCGTGTCGATTTTTCTCGAATAAATATTCTTCAACAAAAAACTTCAAAACGTCAAACGGTTAACTAGTGTCACAGATTATAGGATTATCAAGACTGTAATATTGTTGTTTTTCGTACAACAAGTATACGTGTTTTTCATAGCGGCAATGACAAAAAGTAAGTGATCTACCGCTTTTCATGATAATTTAAAAAAAATTGACGCAAAGATTTACTTCGAGTGTCACCTTGAATGTTTTCAAAGTGATAATTTTTTGCCTCTCGCTTCTTTAATGTAAGCATTTTATTATAAAGAATAAATTATTACGTCGTAAAACATCAGCAAAATTTGTATCAGTAGCTGGACGCAGTATTTACGCATTTATATATTTGTTAATGTTGAATTTTAATACCAAATACCATATACCAATTTTAAGTCCAAATTGAATCAGTTTGTGGCGATGCATTTGGCAGGCGAAAGACTAAACCGTTCAGTTTGAACTGACCAGTAAACTGTGGCGTGTGTAGCGGGCTTTATAGGAATGGGAAATATTTACTCAACCCTCGGTAAAGTCACTTTGTCTTGGTAAGCGTTATATAATGATCATTTATTTTTACCATGGGCTTGTTTAAAGTAACATCTGACTCTAACATTACGTGCACTCCGTACTATTTGTACATTTAAGTGTTGATTGTTGCGGATGCGCACATTAAAACATTAGCAATAAGGATAAAATAACATGCTTATTTTCGCAGAAATAATGTGTATGTATCTAGGAATTAAATATTCCTTTTATTTTTATGTTAAATGTGGTTTATTTTTTCTTAATTTCACTCTCTATATCTACATTTGAGTTAGTTGAGTTTCTCATGATTTTGTCTAATATACGACACTTTAGCAAACTGATTAGAGATCATATCCTCCTCATCCTACTCCCGTAGAGTCGGCGCAACAGGTTTTTGTCCTCTACATAACTATCATAAGTCATCTCAGTCATAACTCCCTTTTTCATCATCTCACGTTTCACGCAATCCATCCATCTCTTTCTAGGTCTACTTCTAACGATGTATCCTTCCACACTCATAACTAACGTTCTCCTTGTAACATGCGATTCATCCCTCTCTCATTAGAGATTAACTAAACAATGATATTAATTGATAAACTTACACACTCTCGTACCTCAATTCTACCGGTTGTAACGATATCTATTCGCATCACTAGGGAAAACCTTACATTTTTATAATGCGGAATAAACCGCGAATTAGAATTAATTATACCTATTTCCTCATACCATAATGTTCTACCATGTGGGACAACAGGATACGTTCATAATATGTTGTTGTGTAATCCCTGTTGTTTATAGAGATAATGAAAGTGAAGACGAAGCCATGTTTTAAACCAAAGTTTCGACAGTTGAAGACCACAGCACATTATACGTTTGTTAAAACAAATAAGCTTACAAATTATGTCCGATGACACCTTATACTGACACAATTTTATATCTAGTTACCAAATGCTCGCTCCCTCGCCGTTATAAATCATAGTTACTGAGTTGACGATGCCGTGGAAATTGGCACAAACCAATACTTCATGCAGTGATTAGAAAGATCCTTTTAGAATTCAATCAAAATATTATTTCTTAATCTTTCCACTTTTTGTTAAATAGAAAAAAAATAATTGTCGATCGTCAGGTTTTTTACGACAGTTTCTAGAAATAAATGGGTTGAAATATGATTCTTGGTAGTTTAAGAACATGTTATATTTATGTAATGGAAACTATCCTTACCCTTATAAAATAGCTAATGAGAATATCCGCATGGCGTTGTAAATGAAGATATGTATGTATTATATAACACATTGCTGCATCTAATTTGTGTACTTAGTAATGATTAGCTGTTGCTCGCGACGTCCGCGTGAAATTAAAAGATATAGCCTATCTTTCTAACAGATAAATTGTCTTTCATGGTGAAAGAATTTTTGAAATCGGATTAGTAGTTTTTTTAATTATTTCAGTACATACAAAAATACAAATCTTTCCTGTTTGTAACATTAGTATAGATTACAATTTAACCAGGTGTTCTGTCTACTCAACTTTTACCAGTATTGTTGTTTTTCCCACGATTTTTTTAAATCAAGGAGAAAATTCCACAAAACTAAATCGCAAATAACGCGCTAGGTTTTAGTATTATGTAGATAAGGTTAAAAAGTCAATTTGTTTTTTTATCAAATTACCATATAAAAGTAGATGTTTAATTAATATAAATTGACATGAACCGAATTCGTGATACTTCTTCATGTTTATTAATGCTAACTATTGCGACCATTATAAATATTGAAACTATTGATACAAACAATAAGCCCTGTGAATTGAACATAATTGTTTTGCTTGCATTTGCTTATAATATTTTAGATTTGTCAAATAGATATGACGTGTTAAACTTACTTCCTACTAATATTATAAATGCGAAAGTTTAGATGGATGGATGAATGTTTGTTAGTTTGCAGCCAAAACGGTTGAACGGATCTCGATTAAATTTGGCAAAGATGTAGAGGACAGTCTGGAAGAACACATAGGCTACTCACTTCAGCTTTTTGTAATTCCACGCAGACGGAGTCGCGGGCAGAAGCTATTATTCCAATAATTGATGTATCAGTAACTAAATAAGGATTATTTCGAGTAAAATTTTTTTGGGCTCCTCTTCAACAATAAAATTGAGTTGCGACTATGTGAAGTAAAACCATTTCAGTTGAGTGCAATTATCTTTTCTCGCGTTGCGTTGCCCCCGAGCTGTGTAATAACTCGGGCTATTGTTGAAAACGTCTGCGAAGTGCCACTCGGCTCCGGGAATCGAAGTCGCTGCGTCGGTTTGTTCCGCTTTATTTACAGGGAAAACGTGCGTTAAATGCTTCACAAAAGTTATCGCTAGTCGTATTCGCAAGTTTAATTTATGTGAATTACTATAGCACAATAAGTATAATATTAAAATAAGGATGACCCGTTGCCAATTACATTACTAAAAAACTATGTGTGATAGTATTTTTTTCAATAAACAATAATAAATTTCATAATCGAGAACTAAACTATGATATCGAGAACTATACTACTGTAGTTAAATAATGATTTAACTATATTACGGTCCTTTTCAAGTGAAATTCGGTCCGATTTCCTTTTTCTATAATTTTTAATATTGTACGGTCGTGATTATAACAACAGATTGTACATCGTGACTCATTATTGCATATCTATACTAAAACGATAAAGTTTAAAAACACACTACTTTGTGTCGTAGGATGTCAGCAATCACAACACTTTTTTTTAATAATTATTTCTTTAATAAAAAGCCTTACCCATACGATATACACCCTTTATATTTTCATGCTATTAAGGAAACTTAGGGGATAAATAAATTGAAAAAAAAATCCCATGTAAGAAAGGGACCATTAACTATAAGCTGCCAACATCAAGGATGTCAATGTGAAAGGCCTTCGTTGTCATTTTAGCAGTTCAGAGTTTAACAAATATAAACAATAAAATATAGTTTTTTATCATTTAATGGGGATGAAGCCGCACGGGAACAGCTAGTTTTATCTATTCTAATCAGTTACACTTGAATTCACTGCTAGACCAAAGAATGCATATAGTCCAGGATATGTATATTAACACGTGGAAACAAGTAATACATGTTTGTCATTTTACGTATGAAAACTGTCCTTGTGTTGTGTTGAGATTCATTTTGTTCGGTCTAATGACCATCAGGTCGTTGAGTTCGCGAGGAATGCTGTTTCAATTTCCCGAAGACAAGTTTTCGAACAGCATCAATGTTGGCGTAATTACTTGTAACAACGCGACAAGAATGTTAAGAACTGCCTAGTTTAGTACGTATGGATATATTTCTGTCCTAACACTATGGAGAAATAACCATAAAGGAAAAGTCACCTTCAAGGTATTTTTAGATACTTTAGACTTGATAAATTGTCACTTAAAAGATACCATAGTCTCAAATTATCTTCATGTTCTATTCCTCATTGAAGTTGAAAGTTCACAACCTTTGAGCCTTGGTAAATTGAACATTGTCTGTATGAAACGCGTAGCGGCATTATAATATTCAAACTTAATGTAAGCTCGAGGTTAGCTGTGAACATGGGCATACAGTTTCAGTGCTTCGCCCACAGAGTATCGAGGAAAGCATGCCTTCATATTCCCATAGGAGAAAAGTGATGTTTCGCGTAGAGTTAGCCAGCCTCTATAAAGTTTGGATAGCACTATACGTAATAGTAGTCTAGATTTAGACGTGTTGGTACTTGCGACGCGACTGCCGAGGTCGCCGGACGTGATGCGATCACTTTGGCACACATTCGCACATCAACACAATACAAGACCAAGACTGATGGTTTCCTATATAATCCAATAATGTTATAAATCGACATTGGATGTGGTTTTTTTATTCACTCATGTCTATTAGACTTCCCAAAAGTAGGAGGTACTCAATACGTCTGTATGTTTTTTTTTGTTTGGTATTTTTGGATAAACTTGTCCTTGTCTACAATACACAATACACACTACAAATCAATACAGCTCTTAATATCACACACACATTTAATGTAGCAAATTATAGTTATTAGATAGTATGTAATGCTAATTTTTGTTCTGCAATTGACGTGTTACAATTACATTCGTGTTATTTTGTTGCAGGTTTGAATTGAAGCGGACACTGATAGTATGGAACAGCGGCCTGGCGTTGTTTAGTATAATGGGGGCGTGTCGCACGCTACCGGAGTTCATACACGTGCTGCGGAACCACGGCCTCTACCATTCCATCTGTGTGCCCAGGTTAGTACCAACAGCATAATGCAACTTACTGTAGATGATATTAGATTACTCAAGAATACTTTGTATTTAAGTGCAATTTCATACTGACGTAATTTCACTTTGACCTCGTTAATTGTTTCAATTGTACGTCGATAGATCTCATGTATTAGAACATTATTACAATTAGGTTTAAAATGTATGTTGCACTAACATCGAAAAATCCCTTGCTTGCAGTCTGTTACTTTATACCAAGAGTCTGCCTATGGTATAATCAATACTCAGAAACCGCTTTATTACTGGCTGTTAACTACTGATTTACATCCTCGTAAGTTCAGGGTCTTTGCGCGATTTATCAAAGAATTTAAGTGACTTTTTTTAATTGTCCTTTAGTGAGATCTCGACATGATAAAATAAAAAAAACTGTTTTAACACATTCAAAAATTCACGGCAGTAAAAACATTTACAATAATTTCTTTATTCTGAATAATACCCGCTTTTTTGCGCCTTAACCTAATGGCTTGGTACACGAAGTCCGTTCGCTAAAAGACAAAGTACTAGAGCCTTGAATTGGAAATTTCCGATATGGAAAATATTGCATATTCGTCACGCCATATATTTCTGTGCATAAAAACTAGTCTCGTATCGTAGCTGTAATTTAAATATGTGGTACAGTTCTAGAGAATGCATAGCAAATTCAATGTGACTCGCGCTATTTTTCGGTACACGGTCGGTTATATAATATAAATGTATGAAATCTGTGAATTGATTTTAATCTTGATTCTTAATGGCGAACTAGGGTGCAAGGCAATATACAATCTTCATAGTTCGGCCTAAAAATCTGGACAGAAACATACTGATATCTGTGATTTTTGAGCAAAACTTATTGCTTTGTAAGCGACGCTTCTTTCACACACGTCAAAGTTTTAGTGGAATTTGAAGTTGCCGTGGCCTTATCATTTGAGACGCGGTTACAAATTCAAATATCGTTGCATTGTTAAAAAAAACCCAGTTGAGTCGCGCGTGCGACAAACTTCGTGTCGTTTTGTGCGTGTTTAAAAAAAAAAAACTTATCTCAAATAAAGAATCATTTGCACATAGGTTGTTCTCGTATGTACGCATTTGTAGATAACAAGTTTTTATAAGAAAAAAAAACATAGTTTTTAAAGCAAATGTTTTTAGATTTTGCGACTTGCCAACATAAGATCGATACAAGGGCAAAACAAATTTTAATTTATATAAGAACTGTAATAACTGTTGCGCTTTCCGAATGTAACCGCAATATTATTTTCATTGCTCAGAAAAGTCTTGATTTTTTTATTGGATCCAATGTATTTTTAATAATTTAACAGTCAAATTTTCTATAAAACCTTCAAATGGGCACAAAGATTAAAGTATCTGTTTATTATTATCAAAATGTCTAAATTCGGAAATAAGCATCAACTTAACGGTTATATTTAAAGTCTATGTAATTTCTCAAAGTCCTTAATAATTGCGAATTTTATAGGCAATGTTAATTCTTAAATCGACACGTTCGTCAAAATACCAATGACGTGCGATTAGACATGATCGCTCGCCCATCACGTATGTGAATCGCGTCCGAGCGCGCCAGTTGACAATTATTCTATGCGCGTCAACGGGCGAAAGTTCACGCGCTGCCTAGACGAATGAGCGCGGGTGCCATAATCATTATACCTTCAAATATTAAGTACTAAATTATTTTTATTTTTTACTAACAAGACCGATATCATCATCATCGTTATAACGAACTATTCCATAGTTCGGTTTTTGACCTACGAAGCTATCCCTGCTACAATAAACATGCCCGAGAAGAGGTGAACAAAAAAGTTATAGTTAATTGTAAAATAACATGATGTACAATATTATTATACTAGCTTTCGCCCGCGACTCCGTCCGCAATGAATTAAAAAAACAAAAGTGAGTAGGCTATGTGTTCTTCCAGGCTGTCCTCATCATCTTCTATATGAAACATCCATCTATCTAAACTTTCGCGTTTATAATATTAGTATGATAAATAAATGTGGTTAAAAGGTAAAAAACTAAATTCAAGGTTTTGTGCCTTTTGTGACCTATCCAATTTAAGTTGTAAGGTGTGCTACCTTACTAAGCTTAAAGGCTTTAAGCCAATTATATTATGGTTCCATCGGTAAGATAACCAATAACAAATATTGATCGTTTTCCGTGAAGATAACATTTAAATTAAACCTTGGGATATTTTTTGTACATCACCTTTTTTGACTATTACATTGATGCGATCAATTTTCCATAAAAAGCGTTGGCCTCGAACAATTCATAGTAAATAGAATAAATACATAGTCATTAGACTCTGTGGAATATTCTCATGTATACATAATCATTTATTAGGTTTGTTTACGTTATTTACTTGTTTATTATGTAAATGTTTTAATAGTTATGTAACCACGGATAGTGCTTGTTCTAAAGGTAATCGAAAAAAATAATTAAGTGTTTTACGAAATTTAAATTTTAACATAAAGATATTTGGCATGTCCAATTAATGTTATGTCGGAATTTATTCCCTCTTATTTCGAATGGAATATTTACACCAATAAATAGTTGTGATGAAGGGCAAATTGATAACGATGTTACAAGACTACTGAGGTAAATGACCGATTTAAGGAACCGGTGACACGAAGTTGGAAGGTTCAGTGGAATCCTGTTTTGAAAAGCAGTTTCACCAGTGTACGAAAATTATAGTCAGTCTGAAGATATTTGAATTATTATCCAAGTTTTTTCATTTAACGATTTGCTTATAACTTATTTATACGTAATATAATCAAGGTTTTGTGGTGACATTACCTTAGCCTTTTTTAACTTGAGAAATACCTTGTTAAAGGTATAGAAATGACATTGTGTATTGTAAATGTAAGTAAATTGAAATTAATGACGCTGTCTAATAGTTATTTAAGACTATTGGTTTTGCATTGCGCAAGAGAGAATTTTTGAATGAGAAAAACGTTAAACAAAAGGTCATATTACTATTCTTTATTGTCTTTATTACAGTCTTGAATAAGGGAACTTCATATTTTTATATGGGAAAAGGTACGTTTGTTTATTTTGTCTTTAGCATAAACAGGGTTGTAATTATGCTAAATACCAACATAAATACTAAGATTAATTTCAGAAATACTACTTTTATGTAGCAAGGTTCGATGATTTTAGTGTATAGTGCAATTTATTTGATAAAAAAAAACAGTTTAAACTCGCGCGATATATCCATACATAACGTGATATCGTTACGTAAGTAGGGACAATGTTTCTGTTGCCTTCAACTTGAATTAATCGTTCTTTTACTCGTTATTATGTTCATCGATAAATATTAAGGCCAACACACACTGTGCAATATAGTATTTGTCGGTAAAAATATTCGGTACAAATTTCGGCTGTCCGAAACACCCTTGGAAATCGGATTACTTTAGGATTATTTTCAATTAGAAAGTAAGAATCTTATCACTAAAAATCAACGGCAACAAATCAGTATGTTTTGCCTTAAGCAATGCTTACAATTCTTTAGCAGTTCATGTATAGCGGCCTTAAGTCAACGAAATCACTTCGTAAACATGCACTGTTAACTCTGCACGTGTCGATCCGGCTATCTTTATTATCTTGCTTAGTGTGTAATTGAGTCATCACTCACTATGTGGAACTGGACCAGTTTGCGAGGTTGATCTATTAACAAGTAATTTCTATGTATTTATGGAGTTGTCATGTTTAATGAGTGTTTATGGTGGGTTTCCACATCATAACATCTCTAAAATAATGTATTTAAAACCCTGTTTTAGTTTTTGGTTTGCACAAAAAATGGATAGTAAGAGATTACTAATTTCCATATGACGCAACTCGCACACAGATTATCACGTTTCTGTACGTTTTGGTCGGTTACATGCAATATGTCCGGCTTGTGTACACTGTGGGTCAGCATCATTATTTGGTATTTACATTACACGCCTATGCGTCACACCGATCTATCAATAAACATGATATGTGGATTCACTGACATCGTTGCTCTCCACATTACAATGTTGTGCTTATGTTAATACGCGCATAGTAATTGACAAAATGTTAGGTTCTATTTCATTCCTATTCTAATGTGAAATTAGAATTTCATAATAAAATTTTATTATGAATTTATTTTAATGGATATGATATTTTTTCAAGTTTAAATAACATTTATCTGTATGTTGTATGAAACGAATAGATATGACATGTTTTTTGTTAGTTTCCAATAATTATTCATTCACTTCCACTTCCTACATCATTAATTGTTACAATCTTACCTTACCATTCATCCATTCATTTTTCCAATTAATTTATTCTATAAATTAGTTAACTTGTAACAACATATTAAAATATTACAATGTGAATGTTCATGATATATGCCTAAATCTCATACATATTAAATTCTTGTCCGACGACACGATAACAATAATGTATGAACAACTAATTTACAAGTGTTAAATGCATGTAATATGTCAGGAAAACATAATAATTATATCGTGTAGTAATTAACATGTTTTAGTAGTTTTTTTACGTTTCATTACCTAATATTTTTTGTTCATTTTCTTTTGACTTCATTACAAAAGATTTCTTTTTCTCTCACCGATTGTTTTGATAACGTAACACGTTTTTTCAACCCTCCGTTTACTGTGTTACGTAAGTCTTCGTTATAACATGACATACACGATCCCAATGGAACATAGTTTTTACTTAAAAAAAATAATTAACTTCATGACTCATTTGTTTTAAGTCAAATTGTTGTAGTTTATAAGTGTTTCGGCAAAGTTACCGTGATAATTTAATAAAAATGAATTTAAAAAATGAACTTGTCTGTTATTATCACAAAATACATCTAATGACTAAAGTGTACGCAACTAAAGTGTGTTATTCACTTAATCGAAATCGGCTTATAACTTGGAAATCACGTGGCGAAGTTATCTAATCCAGTATACTGAAGCAGTTCTTGAATGAACCAACTGAATGGATGG